CAAATAAATAAGCTAAACATATCTCATATAATATGTATACCTACCTATAAACATAAAATTACAAATTTTAGAAAGCTATAACTTATAAAATAAGTTTCCGGTAAAAAATGTTTATACCATCGTTTAAAAAATTTTAAATCATGAGGGGATTGGTGAAGTATATTTTAGTACCTAGGTTTATTCATATACCTACCATAGATAACTAACTATGTACCTATAAATAAAATGTACAACCAAGCACTTTCTTTAAAATATTAGTTATTTATTTGATTTTATCGCCATGACTCCATAACATAATTTTAAGTAAGTACAATAAGTACATATACTAAAATTATTTTAATTATTTTTTTGATTGATGTTATAATATAGTACAGAGGTTCCCAAACTTTTTTATCTCGCGGTGCCCTTTTTTGAAATAAGAGGTTTACATGGTACCCCTCATAAAAAATAATAAAAAACCAGAACAATTTGTAATATAAATATTATGAAAATATTTATTTAATTGTAATTATACATATATTATAAGGCATTAGTTTTATTAATATTTAGGTATATATTTATTTAATTATTTATATAYATTAAATTAATGGGATGATGAATGATAACATTTTACGGCAGCACGGAGAGTCCCTGTAGAGACACTACGGCGCGGCGCGCAATAGCGAACCACTGATGTAGTAGATATTTTACAGCTATATAGGACTAAGTACATGTACATATGCAATTACTTATAACCTATTATAATAAATTATGTGATTGATAATAGGTAATAATTGAATCACCAAATATTAAAATGGGACTTCAGACAAAATTATTGCGATAAATTAAAAAAAGGTGGTTAGCACAATTTTTTTATAGTAATTTGTAAAAAAAATTTTAACTCCAATTCCTTTTCAACAGTGGACAATCTAATTATTGAATACCTTCCCAATTATCAAATTACATAACAAATGCTTTAAAATTAAGAAAACTATGCATCTACATATAATCAAATAAATAATTTTTGTTTTCAATAATAAACATAATATAATAATAGTCATACATTTTAACCACAGTTTGATATTTAGATAGGTACCTAGTACCTACACTTTATGCTAGAATCAGAATTACACATTAAAAAATAACATTAAATTTTTTTTTATATTTAATCTGAGCTAGTATATCATAGCGGATAKGCCATTTTTGGCATACAGGAAAATTTTAAAAAGGGGTCCCCAAATGAAAAAAATCTAATAATACATAATATTAAAGGACCCATTGGCCATTACCAAAAATATCCCGAAGGAGAGGGCTCACCGGGAAATGCCCGGTAGGCCTATCYGTCCGTAGTATATTATGATTTAAGGTTAGATGGTTAACATGTRATTACAAAAMAATTCAAAATCAAAATAATAAAATTTTGAATTTTAATCCTTTTTAACCAAATTTTTCCAAAGAAGTATGATTGACTTTTTGGAAATATTTATTATAATAWGTTATTGTGATTAGTTTTATTRTGGTAAATATCAAYTTTTGTATGATGCTATTGCTTAAAAATTAAAATTAAATGCTCATCAGAACTATATATTTAGGGTACAATTAATAATCAATAAAATGTAACAAAATCTTGTGTTGATATTTATTGGTATTGCTAAAACATAATTTAAATCAGTGATTGAACAGGTATACTTCATTGTGTTAGTTACTTATCTAATAATGATATGTTATTATATTCATATATTCTACCAATATTGATAATATTTAAATGTGGACTTAAAAAAATACCATACAGAATAAATATAATGAAATAAAGTACTGTACATTTTTATATATTTATGGATTTTTTTTTTTTTTGTGTGTGTGTGTTCAGCATAACTAGTCGAAATAATSCTTCAATTTCAAACTTTGGGGGTGGTTTCCGATAGAATAGTGAATATCCTTGGTGCGTTTTAGAGGTCAAAAGTAAACATTTTCAAAAAAAATCGAGAAAAACAAAAAAAAATTGACAGAAAAACGGAAATTTTTACGCAAAACCAGTTTTCGACCAAATCGAGTTTTTTATATGGTTCTAATTCAAAAACTAATCACTGTAAATACTTGAAATTTTCACTAAATGCTTATCTTAGTGTTATCTATATACAGTTTAATTTTTAAAAAAATTTGACTTTTTTTGAGTTATTTATAGACTACTGAAATTTTCGATTTTTATGAGAATTTTTTTTTGAAGTGTCGGTAAAAAAATGTTGGACAACCAAAAAAACATGAAAATTTAATACAAGATTCCTTTTGAGTTGTTCTTAATGAAGCTAAAAAAAATTAAAAATCGTTAGCCACATTTTTTTTTATAAGCGTTTATAGTTCAAATTTTTACGAAATCTGTCAAAAACATGAAAATTTGCAAGTAATTTTGAAGTTGAAAAATCATAAAACTTTTTGTGTTTATAACTAAGGATTAAAAATACAACACAGTTTTCCATAACCTTTTCTTCAAGTAGCTATAGAGAAAACTCGAAGCATCATTGTAGGAAAAATTTTAAGTGCGTTTGAATTTTAAATTTTTATGAAATAGCGTAACAATAACGATTTATCCTGAAACGGTTTTAAATATTTGTTATAAGTTGTAGATACTTGAAATTTTTTTTTTTTCAAAATGACCAACTAAGTTACTCTTAAATCATAAAGCTTCAATACTTCTGATAAATATAGGATATGTAAGGTATCCAAATCTACAGTATTATCTATAACAATATCTCTAAAAAACAAACCCTTGTTCATATTTAAGTCAAAAAGAAAAACATTTTTGATTTTAAATAATGTAAAACTTGATTTTCCTAGAATAATCCAACAAAGACATTTAATCATGATGAAACTAGTCAGCTAACATGTCCTAAATCTGCCTGAGTATTATGTCCAACTGTTCAAGAAATATTCAAACTTAAAGATCTATATGCAGTTAAACAAAGTCATGAAAAATAATGGATTAGCTACAACATTATGCACTTAATCTGCAAATGGTATTTTTTCACCACCAATGGTAGTATATCTATTAAAAATATTTCCTACTTAATTAATGGTAACATTTTCCAAAAATTGTAYGGTTGGAAAGCCAAATTTCAGATAGATTTTGAATTTTGAGCGTACCCAGCAATAAATGTACTTATTATACAATGATATGTTTTTTCTRTCTGTCATTAACTTTTGGRGTAGTCAAAATGTTCTAGTTTTTGATTTCAACATCTTTAATAATAGTAAAACTAATTTATGCATCGATAAGATAAAAATAAAATTTGAAAAGTGATTTTCAAAATCATCAGAAAAAATAAAACAAACAAAATCCTATACATATATATATAACTATATAGATAAAATTAGATACACAATAGACTTCTACTCACATTTTAATTAAATTTACTTTATTATTATTATCAAAACTGACTATTTCAAATTAAAATTAAAATTGATATATAATGGTACTAAAAATATATTAATATGAAAAACAAAAGAACATAGTACCAACTCAGATTCTTTACAGTCTTATTATTTCAATTAAATTATTTATGTAAATTATTATATTTAAATAATATTCTTAAAAATTAATGATAAAGACTTAATATTGTCTTATTTATTAAATTCAACTAAAATGTAATTGTATATCAATCAATTTATTTATGTTATCTTACAGGACACAGGTTATATTTATATTCAACAACTCAAAAATAAACAAAATCCTAAGTATTTATTAAATATCTAAAATTACAAACACTTCACATTTTCCTTCATTTTCATGTATCTGCATATTTGAAAATGTTATAGCTTTTACTTCTGTTCCTTGAGGATGTTTCCCAAGTTGAAACTCTTCTCCAAAGCCTTTAGCTTTAATTTTAAATGCTGTTGTGTCAAATTCTTCTATTTGTACTTTCTAAATTGAAATATTATACATTAATTAATACAGCATATTAAACTATGTTCAAGTTAATAAACCAAGTCAGCCGTGACCAGTTTTTGTAGGGCAGCAGTCAGGCAACATCTGTTTGTCACTTTGTCGCCCTTCCCCACTCCTAAGTGAAAACTTTTTGTACACCTGCCATATAGTATTGCCATGCCMCTACATACAAGTCGGCAACTGAAAACGTTTCTTAACTTAAACAGGAAATATTATTGGGAGATTTTAARATTTTAAAATTACTGAACTAAATAGCTTACTCTTGCAATATAATTAGGTTCAGCACTAAATATGAACAACAATTCATCAAGAAAATTGTACAAAAGAGTCATCATATCGTGACCCTCAACTTCTATTTCATACGACTCTTTCATTTCAATATAATCAACCTCTGTCATGTAATGAAACATAGCATTGGCACATTGTTCAAATGCTTCAGACAAAGTACTTCCCCACGCATGTATTCTACAAAAATTAAAAGATATTAATAATTTTACATTCATTAACAATTACATTTTAGTTGAATTTAATAAATAAGACAATATTAAGTCTTTATCATTAATTTTTACTAGTATTTTCCAATATGTATTTAAGTTCTTTAATGAACAAAAAATAATACTAACTGAATATCTGCTGTATGGTCCAGATCTGAAACAAATATGTAAATTAAATAAMGGTTTTAATAAACGAGAAGTATTTTAAAAACATAATATAACATTTACATATTTTTTAAGCATTAATTGATTTATGAAAAACCTATAACATAAAAATAATGAATAGTAAAAGTTCAGTAGGTACAATGAACAAAAAATTGTAGAGGAATTGAAAAATTTAACATTAAAAGTGACTCATGAAGAAATTGTTGACAAATAACATTTACCTTTAAAAGAACACTCATTTTGACTTTAATATAAAATCAGCATGGGCATAAATAGAGGGAGGCTTAGCAGAATTAGCACCCTCGATTTTAAAATTAGCACCATAAAATAATGTCTGTTCTTATGTATCAAACACTTCTTCTTATAAAAAAAAAAAAACTAAAATGACAAAATGCATAGCTTAAGCACCCTTATTTTTTTATTTTTTTTATTGAAATTGCGCCTATGATAAAAAGGAATTATGTTGTACAAGAATAATAAGATGTTATGGTGTGAGTGATGGAAGCCAGTAAGGCTGCTGCAAAAATACACTTGGGATTTTTATTTATTACGTATATGGAAACATGGTAAAGAGATATACACAATTTTTTTCGAGATGTCAAGAAAGATTGTCTGGTAATGAATTAAAAGCAAGATTTGAGGTAATGATACCTCCAGGACCCCCATATCATACTTTTKGTCCAGGCACAGAACTAAATCCTGGTCCCCTCTTAGATAACAATTCATTTTTAAACATTTTTCTTATATATATTGAAGTAATTAATTGCATAAACGCCAAACACTTCAACAGTCCAGGGTCCAGTGCCATGGATTCTTTTGACCCCCCTTTTGGGAGCCCTGGCCACTGGATACCTCATCACTTTTTAGTCTTTAATATTTTAGTTAGGTATCAAAATATTTACAATTCTATCACAAATGTAATTAATTTGTAGTAGGTTAGGTTAAAAAAAATTTATATAGGYATATMAGTAGGCTTAGATAGCTATTCTAGCTAGGAATGCCTTAATTAATAATTWAATAAAAAGGAGGTAAWTAATTCAAAATATATTTTAAATAATTGAACAAAAACAATTTTTAATTTATAGAATCAAGTAAAAATAAAACCAACTTTTGACTGTCCTAAAAATGTTAATTTCGAAAATATCAAAATAACTCAAAAAAAATAAAGCGATTCAAATCCATTCTCAAAAATAGTGGTTTCTATTTAAGACATTTTTATTTTACTGCGCATGCGCTGATAAAAATAGTTAAAACTAGAATTATCAAAAACATATGTATTTGTATATGATATATAATAATACAGGGATGGCCACTAACCTTAATTTTAGGAGGGGCAAATGTATGAAGCTATTTYGAAGTGAGCCACATTATTAAAATAGAAAATTTTTAATTTTATAACAAATTTTTTACACTACACAGAGCATTATTGTTCAGGTAGGTAGGTACACATTAAGAAATGGGATTTTACTTTTGAGAAGTGTTTTTTATATTATATRAATTAGAGATTGGTGTCAAGAGCCACAAGAGACTCACTTGAGAGCCGCATACAGCTCCTGAGCCTCGTTGTGGCCACCTCTGTAATAATGTTTGTGGTCCTGTAAGCAATAAAATCYCTAATCAAATTCCAGGTGATGTGCTCGAAATATTTCCTGTTWCTTTTAAAATTGAACACACAGAATATGTGAAAGATATTTTTACCTACTTGATTACTTATTACTTTTATCAATAATTAAAGACAGAATTATGATTTTTATTATCTTATAAAATATAAAATATGCCAATTGTTCTGGTTAAACTACCATAAAAAGGTACATTAAGTTTTTCTTTTTTATACCACTTTTTATATTTATTAGTTATTCTTATTACAGCTTGAAAATTCAACAAGAAACTCTTTTTTTTAAATTGTTAGTAAAATATAACCTATTTTTCCACAAAATTGGAAATTACAACTCAAACTAATAATTAGCAATATYGTTGATAAAATAAGCTATATTTTAAAAAGAGAAGAAGACAGTGTATATCTCAGCAAAAATACATAAATAATTAATAAAAATAAATGGTACATAATACACATAATATAATATAAAAATATGTAATCAAATTATTAGATATTTAAAGTTTTGTTTTTGTGTTCTATTTTATAATTGATAAACCAGAAATTGTACAAACTAACTTACATTTGTGATTGAACCATAACAAGGTATAATACAAAAACATWTTTGGCAAGCCTCACATTCGTATTTGCACTCCGGTAAATTCCAGTCTTCTTCTTTAATGTCACCCATATTTCACAATGTTCTTTATTGAATATTTATATTATATTTTATAAATAAGTAAACATAAGCAAAGTTTARTTTGAACTGAAATGTGTAAGCAAATGATTTAATATTTAATCATTTATAGTATTTGGTATAAGTTAAGTTATAACACAGAACAATGTTATAACTAAGTCATAGAATATAGATTAGACTAAGTAGTAAGTAGTAAACTAGGTAGTTAAACTAGTAAATAAAGAAAAAGAAAGTCAATTTTTATCGTTATCAAAACCAAACGGCAAACAGTACCAACCACGATTTAAGATAGTATATCTATATGGTACCAACACTATTATAATTTCGTCATGACCTTGAAAAAATAAAAACCACGTGATAAACTTATAAATCATAACCACAATTTAATTTACACTACATTTCAAAAGAGAACATATAGTATATACACAAATCGACGAATCGATTGTAAATGGGAAATCAATCCGTTCATTGTATGAAAAGTGAAAGTGAAAAGACTTGGTACATATAGCAAATGAACATGAAATATTTAAATGCTCAGTAGTATTTATGTGACCTTTAACATGTTTAATTAACATTGACTTAAGATTAAATGATTTATCACAATCATTACAGAAGTACACATTTCTTTTCAAAAGTYTGTGCTTTTTAAAACCCTCATGTTTTTCCTTAAATGCTTAWTTAAACCTAAAATGGACATAAATTCAGCTTGGCAAACCTCACAGGAAAACATATTAAAAATAATATACTAATTTATAAAAAAAAATTGTATGTCAAAATAAAACTTAAAATTGGGAAACCGGAAAATCTACTAGTCGGCGCTGGCTAAACAAGAAAAGTTTACTAACAAGGAGTACACTACTAAAATAGGCAATCTTTCAATAACCCCGAAATCTCCAATTTATTGTTGAGTGCCCTACTTTTATTTTTATGACCCAATTAATGCGATAAGATAAAATGCATGCAATGAATAGGTATTTTCGACGTTCAGCTTTGACTATCCTCTTATTGCTCTTATTATTAGGGCCCGTATTACAATAGTTGAACTCAGGTTAAACCACCGAATTCGGCCGGTTAAATCAGTGGTTCAAGCGTAACCGAGGTTTAAACTATGACGTTTAATAAAACGGTATAAATCATATTTCGCCGCCAAAATCATGACTTTTGGCAGCAGCCAGCAATTAATAAATCTACATTCTACAATCACAATTTATATACAATATATAATACCGTGATAAGTGATATGGTTTAAAATAATAACCGCGAACGTGGTATTATATACATGGTATAAGTGTGATAAGGAAATGGATCATACGAAAAAATTTTCCTGCGAAGAACGGTTCGTGTTATTAATTTGTTTTGTCATAAACACGATGTAGAGAAGATATCTTCTCTACATCGTGGTCATAAAATAAAAATACTGTTATAATATAATATTTAAATCATAAGGGCCAGTTGTAAGTTGTACCGTCTCTGATTAAAGTTAACGGGAGTTTAATCTAGTGACTAGAGGGGTTCGTAACATAGACATAACAATAATATTATTATGTCTATGGTTCGTAACCACAGGTACAACTTTATTACTGGCCCTATGCGGTAAATCTACGGTACAATCATGGAACGAGTGAATTAATGAATTTTAAAGTGATAAGAATATAACAAATATTTTTTAAAACTTCGCCGTTACGTTGGCTACACTCACGTCCACCGTTTCGTTACGAACCCCCTCTAGTMMCTATAGGTAACAACAATCGGAACGCACTTCAAACTCAACGACGCGCAACTACTTTAGCGGTACCTCTCTTCTTTCTCGTCAATTGCTTATTTGCTTGTTCTCAGCGTCAGTACACGCAGAGCTAAGGCCCAATTTTAGGCGACTTGCGATTTCTCAATTCTCAGGTTTTTAAAAATTTTCATCCGTTCCGATCCAGCTACGATGGCCATCTCAAAGCCCGAATTAGCCTGCGTCTACGCCTCATTGATCTTAGCCGACGATGACATCGATATCACGGTAAATATTCTCAATCCTCGTATAATGTCGATGTTTATGTTATATTGTGACTAATACAATGTCTGAGAGTCCCTTCTATTTCTCTACTTCAATCCACGATGGTCTGTTATCCAGCTGTAAACGCCACCGAATTCAATGGCCATTTCCTTTGCCAAGAATTTACACGACAACTGTCGCCACCATTTTTCACGTTAACCACGGTGATCCATTAAGCTCGAGGACCACRTTTGCGCTGTCTGCGACCGAAATAATCGCGGATATAAACTAAACAACAGTGAATTGTCTACTGATTTTTCGTTCTCAGCGTTGCCTCTTTAAAGTTGCCTTTTCCATTTGTATTGACTGGATTTTCGTGCTCTTTTTTTTCAAAATTCCGTTCCCACTTAATTGTCGAAATGGTATCGTATCAATATGTTTCGAAACTCGGTTTAGAGGATATCTGAGAACTTTAACTACTCATGTTCTATTAATATGGATAATATATTATAAGATTCTTTTCTTATTGTTGACGCATATTATGTTAAAGCTTGCAATTTATTGTGTAATGAGTAAAAATGTGAAATGGTCAATCGCTTTTATAATATGTTATAAATCCTTTATTTTAGATACGTTACATTATCTTCTGTAAGATATTTTGCTTTTGGTTGATAATAAATAGACCATAATCTAAATTATAAGGTTGTTTTCAGCTGGTTTTAGCTATGTTTATTTTATTTATGATCTTATTATTAAAGGGAGAAAAAATCCAAACAATCCTAAAGGCTGCCAATGTTGAAGTTGAACCATACTGGCCTGGTTTGTTTGCCAAAGCTTTAGAATCTGCAAATGTTAAAGATTTAATCTCGAACATTGGATCGGCAGTAGGAGCTGCACCGGCTGCAGGTGCCGCAGGTATGATTATTTTCCTATAACAAAAAACTATTTTCATGAAAATTAAGAGTAAATGATAAATTTACATCCAATTGCAGTTGCTGCACCAGCGGCTGAAGCCAAGGAAGAAAAGAAAGTAGARAAGAAGGAAGAAGAGAGTGAAGAGGAAGATGATGATATGGGCTTTGGTTAGTATATTTAGTTTATACCCGTATAATCTTTTGTTTAAGTTCACACGTACATACTCTGCTGCTGAATAGTATGGCCCTTTTGGTCTATGCCAGGTGCTACATTATAAATTTCAAGACCATTTGTAAACTTTACTCTATTCAGTTTAAGTTGACTCTCTYTCGCGCATGCATACTGAACCGCCAAAACGGTCAGACCCCTCTGGTCGGKGAATGGTGATCCGTGATTGGTCGCCTAACCTAACCGGTGTCATGGTCAATAGGTGGTAAGGCGACATCGGACACTAGCGCTGCAAGACATGCAACTGAATAGAGTATATACACAAAAAAAATACTATATCTACAATTAATATAGTCTGTATATTCCATATTTCTGTGTTTTTACTATTTAGTTCAGTATGTAATATATTATATACTGCTAATTATATATCAAATTCTATGTGAAATATGGTTTAAACATACATTTGTTAATTATATACTATTATGTAAATACATTTTAAAACATCTTTGTGATATTTATACTACTTTTACCTCAACTTGTCATGCAGTTATACCCTTCTATTTTATTAAAATTTCCAAGGAATGGTTTTGTTAGTAGACAAGTAGGAAATTCACCAGCTAAAAGAAAACTGTTTTTATGTGAATGTACCCTTGCTTAGTTGTGTAGTTCTTAGTTGTCATAACAGATAGAGGGTTGGATGCTTAACCAAATTTTTTTTTTTTTGTTGAATTGAGTTTAGTGAACACTATATTTTCTTATTTATTTACTATAAATAAATATGACTTAAGGTTTTGTCTCAGGTTTTGTGATGTATGTAACCTAATTTAGCTTTGTTTTTTAAAAAAAATGTAGTTGTAATTAAGTAGTCTTTCTTTCTTACTTTGTGTACTTTGCATTATCTTAAGATACTGATTAAAGACTATTTCCAATGATTAATATCAAATTTGGCATGTATTATCATAATTTTATTGATGAGTACAATTTGTATGAGGAAATCAACACCTTACTAATGTTACAATATAAATTAGATTTACATAAATATTTTATTATTTTTATAACTTCAGTTTTAAATACCTCATATTTCTGTTCATCCGTTAAGTTACGTCATGTTCATAGTTACAATTATTAGTTAGTTTGTCAGTTATATAATATTTTTTGTTTGTATTAAAAGAAACCCTATACATGCATTTGTTGTCTCAATCTATCAATTGCGGAATATATCAATTTTATGCTGAGCAGTTTGAATCTTATACCTTTAGCTTAAAAATTGGAGCGAATAGACTGATTATGAAACTCGATAGTAAAAACATAATATGTGTTTTGCTGGAAGTATATTTTCCCGTTAATTCAGTTATTAAGTGAGTTAAGGGCATTTTTATTATACAATTTATTATACGCACACAAYTYAAAAACTGAATTATCCTAATTAACCAATTCCAACTAAATACAGATATTGTTCTTACCATAACATTTCATAACTATTCACTCTAATTTTTAAGCTAACAGAATAAGATGTGAACTGCTCAGCATAAATTTATTATATTCCGTGTTTGTGTTAGACTGAAACAACAAATGTGAGTGTGGCGTCCTCTTATTTTCATAACTTTTCTTCAAAGTAACTTCAAGATGAACAGTATTATCAAAGATATCAATAATGACTATTAAATATAATTTATAAATACTGTGGAATCCGCTAATTATAGACGCCGTATAAAGGGCACAAATCGGCAGAGTCCCTAACAAATGCATACATTTTAGGCAATTTAACTTCATTGATAAGGGACAAACCGTTGGTTTTATAAGAGACATAGTTTCATCTGTTAAACCCTGTTTTCTTAATGATACTGTGATTATCTAATCATAATGTCTATTATATTTTATGCCATAAAATATGTTATAATTTCATACGTAGATATACAGGTATATATTTCATTTTTATCCTACTATCACCATGTGCATATTTCATGAAGATAGAAATGGTTTTCGAAATAATATTTCTAATAAGTATACAAATTATAAATGTATGTAAATAACTAAAAATTATTTGTCTTATTTTCAACATGTATGGTCAAACTACATACAAAAATCATTGGTTAATTGAAACAGTCGGATATTAGGTACTAATTGGTCATCGCCCAATGTGTCCCAATTTATCAGATTCTACTGTATAGATTATTGTGGTGTTAGCTTAAAATATATTAAGATACTGGAAATTTAACAATCTCTRAATGAGCTTTAATGGTTTCAATAAAATATTTTAATATTAAATTTTTTATTTCCAGGTCTATTTGAATAAAAATCAACTCCATCGACTGACTTACCTCTACCAAAATAACAACATTAACTTTATTTGTATTATTTTGTAACTTGTACAACTATGCAGTTTAAATTAAATGTTGTTATATTTTAATATTTATGTTATTAATGTTTTTTTAGACCTTAATGTTTTCCAATATTAAATTTTTGAACACTTGGTAATCCAAAGCTATTGCTTATTTCCTTAAAAATCTTTTGGTTATTTGAATAAAAAACCTTGCATCTAGGTGGTCTTGGTAATTTTAGGAAAAACTATATGACAACCACCATTCAAAGTGCATTACTTGCCAATTTTAGGTGTATTTGTCAAAATGTATTTTTATAATTATTAATAATTTACCCAACAATTGTGTATAAATAAAGCTTATTATTTGTCTACTCACTCAAATTCTAATCATAGGTTGTTATTCAGCGGGTTTTCTGATTAATTCTTTGCCTTTTTTATACTTGAACCACTCAGAAATTTAAAATTTTCAAAAAGTTGCACTGAATTATTGGGAATATATTCGATTTATATTAATGTTCATTCTTTTCTATCCTGATTTGTTATACTTCCAAGTGTTATAGAAGAAACCAGTAAAATGATCACCCAGATGCATCAAATTGTTGATACCATAGTCCATAGACATATAGAATAKACTAGGAATGATACGAATTATGTGAGGCTAATATGACTTAATAAATTTGCGGTTTTACATGGTAAACATTTATCGTTCCTGGTCTATTCTATTGCGTATATGTCTATGGTTGATACCCTTGAGCTCTAAAGATTATAGTACACTGATAAAAAAATTGTAGGTTATTAAAATGTATTATGTAATAAATTATAATTTAATCTTGTAATTGGTTGATATCAGATGGTGAATAATTAATAATAAAATGGTGATTAATTATTGATCATTGATCAATATTTTAAACAATTACAACGAAGAATTTCATATAAGAAAAATCAAATTATCTAAACTCGATTTAGTCCTTGACTTTTGAACTACTTCCTAACCAAAACTACCTTTGATAAATATTAAAGGTTCATCAATAGCTTACAAGTTGAATACTTAGTCTGTATTAAAAATTCATATTTAAATTTAGCAAAATGTCCGATAAATTTATATCCGTCAAAGATTTTGAAAACTATGCTGTTGGTGCCTTGCCGCGAGCTGTTCTTGGATATTATCAAAGTGGGGCATGCGACGAATACACACTTTCTATTAATAATAAAGCATTTAATAAGTAAGATTTAAAATTTTTTTTTAATATTAACAATACATAAGAAATGTCTAAATGTACTATCTGGTTTGAAGATTGCGCATAGTACCACGGATGTTACGTGATGTACAAAATAGGGATTTAAGCATCACTGTTCAAGGTGATACAGTAAAAGTACCTATAGGTATATCTCCTTGTGCTATGCACAAAATGGCTCATGAAGATGGAGAATGTGCGTCAGCTAGAGGTAATATACTTTCAAAGAATTAGTACCTAATATTTTACACTATAGTCAATTAAAATTAAAAACTTTAATGTATTGTATTTATTAATCAATGATTCTAAAATAAATGAATTAAATAGCTGCTGGAAAGCATGGTGCAATTTTTATACTTTCAACATTGTCAACGTGCAGTTTGGAAGAAGTTGCTGCGGCAGCACCAAACACTGTTAAATGGTTTCAATTGTATATATATAAAGATAGGTAGACAATGTTAATTATTAGCAAATCTCAAATACMTTTACTTTAAATTTATAATATTTGTTTGAGATAATAATAATATAGTACATTAATTATAGGGTTTTAACTACATCATTAATAAAAAGAGCCGAAAAAGCTGGATACAAAGCACTTGTGTTGACTGTTGATGCCCCTGTGTTTGGCATCCGGTATAAAGACATAAAAAATAACTTTAGTTTACCAAGTTGGTTAAAGTAAGGCAACTATATAAAATAACTGATTATTTTATGATTTTATTAAAATTATTATATTCTAGATTAGGGAATTTCTCTGAAGACCTGTCAGTAATGCATCAAACTAGTGGTTCAGGCTTGACAAAATATGTAATGAGTCTTTTTGATGATCGTTTAGTTTGGGATGACATCAAATGGCTTAAAAGGTTATTATTAAAATACATTATGCAAAAATATTTATGTCTGAAAGCTAATATACTGGAATGAATACAAAAATGAATATYTTTTATTTTTAGCATTACAAACCTGCCAATTATAGTAAAAGGTATTTTGAGTGCAGCTGATGCAAAAATTGCCGCTGACATGGGGTGTGATGGTGTATTTGTTTCCAATCACGGTGGAAGACAGTTAGATACAGCTCCAGCCACTGTATGTTATGAGTGCTGTGTAATCAAAAAAAATTTCTTCTTGATAACTGAATAGCATGCAATTTATTTTAGATTGAAGTGTTACCAAGCATTGCACGAGAAGTTGGACATCGTGTTGATATTTATCTCGATTGTGGCATAAGACATGGAACTGATGTATTCAAGGCTTTAGCTCTTGGAGCTAAAATGGTACCTACATTTCTAATATTTACTATCTTTATGAGTTATACTCATTAATTTCCTTTAGAACTTTAAAATTACATGTAATTGGTAAAGTTTTAATATTTGTTTGTGTAGGTAATATATTATTTTAATTTCTAGGTTTTTCTAGCGCAGCCTATATTATGGGGCTTGACATATGATGGTCAAAAAGGCGTAGAGGACGTTTTTGGTATTGTTATTAATGAATTTGATAACGCTATGGCTTTAGCAGGTAACTATTTTTACAGTTATGCATAATGTTAAATTGCATCGGGTTTCAACTAAAATACATGACGTTTTCAGGTTGTGTGTCAGTAGATCAAATTGAAAARGAAATGGTGGTACACAAATCAGTATATTCTAAACTTTAAGTATATTATAATATATTGTTATACACTTATACTTGTACAAAATTGAAATAACAAGTATATAGATTTGCTAATAAATATTTTTAACGTATAAAGTTCATGGTACTCCTAAAATGTGTCATAAYGTAAAAACCTTAACATTGAAGCACTATCTGGCCTCAATCCAAATCAATCAACTACTCAAATCCACCCAAGCTAGTGAATTAATTTCAGAGAACCATACGCTTCAACTAAAAAGATACTGGTGTAGTGGTKTCATCAGAGGCGCAAACTAATTCAAATTATGGGGTGGCAAAACAAAAGTATTCAATACCTACCTGTTAGAAAAAAAAATTTCACTGTGCTCACTTACATATAAATAATAATATTAAAATTTATCAAATAAAAATATAATATAATATAAATGTATTGTAATATAATGTATGCTTATTGTAATGTCTGAAAATTGACCAWWGAGTATCATTCAATTGACCTACCAAATGAAGAGAGGCAATTGCCCTCCCTGCACCCCTAGATTTGCGCCTCTGGGTGTCATAACCTTTTAAATCTTAAACTTTATTAATGATTAAATAATCTTATCTTCTTTCTTCCAAGTTAGATTGTTTCCGTTCTGGTGGCCAGCCCTCCACACTTTTTTCATGTTGTATATTTTAAGGTACCACATTCACTTACTGTATAAAATACTAAAAAATAAAAGTTGAAATAGAGTTTCTCTGATTTATATCATTTTATGTCCTACTATATCCAAGATATACTAAAGTATGATGTACGATATATATTTATTTATATTAAAGCATTTAAAGAATAATGACTTATGTATACAAATATCTAAACCACTATAATTGAGAAAAAATATCTTATTATAATTTATAATTATAAAAAGATTAGAGTACCAAGTAATTATACAAATTTTTAAATAAATAGAAATTGGTAAATAGGTATTCCATTTAGAAAAATCTAAAAATTATTGTATTAATTATCAAAAAGTATATTTTTCTTTATATTTCACTCTAACTGTATGATCAGTGATCACCCTTGTTCTGCACTCATGTAGAGTTMTTTCCTCGCACCAATTAGTTCCATGTCACTCTATTATGTTTACCAAAATTTGCTAAAATAGTAATCACTAATTTTCATAACTGCTCTCACTACATAGGACTAAGGAGTCACCTCTTGTTTATTAAAATATACCTACAGATGTTCAGTGGCGCAACTATGGGAAATTTGTGGCTTGTAACCCCCTCTCCCTAAAATGTTTTTAAAAGTAAAATATTTCAAAGTGAAGACCTCCCAAAAATAGATCCGAATTGCGCGAGTGCAGACGTTAAATTAAAGACAGTCATAATTTAAATTATGCAACTGGTGAAAATTCTAAAAACTTAATAAATTTGAAATTTCTATTCAACCTTATACACTTTTAAGATACTGCCTAATTTACTGAACTGAGAATATAGCGGCCGTAGTGTTAGCAAATCAAGTACGAATGGACTGATACTCCACAAGAGTCATTATAATACCCCCACACAACTCCCTACCAAATTCCAAATTGCTCTGTCGAATATCACATTTAATATAATATACAATTTTTGTATTTATAACCTAGATCAATATGATTATATTATGTTCATGGATTATTATATATATATATATTGTATTTACATATCACATATTAATTGTATTTATAGTCTTACATGAAACTCTGACATGAACGCAGTTTGTTCCATAGACTATTAGAAACAAACTACGTTTTTTATTACTTTTAAAAAATAGATATTAATTTTTACTTTTCAATAATTACCCTCTAGGTACAATTAATTTTATTGAAATCTTATTTAGGTGTTTTCTTTAATRTCAAATTATTTTAATCCTTACCAAGGAGTGAACTAAGGTTAATTGAAAGCATTTGTAATTCATCACTTAATGATTATTGAAAATTAAAAAGTAATTATGATTTTACATACATCATCAAGCAATTTACTAGAGCAGTTAATTTAAAATTTGGTTTGTTCCAGGGGGATAATCGAAAAGTTTGATTTACAAAATTGTAGAAGATTTTTGATTATGTACCTACCTAAGTTAGTATTTAATATATATTGATACTAAATATGACAACAATTTTCAACCCACAAATAGTATATGATCCAAGACTTAAATAACTGTTAATTTATATATTATATCTATTTATTCCACTATTATATACCTATAGTTTAAAAATTAAGAAACACACTAGGTATGTTTTGTTTTTTTTTATTGTTAAAAAGTAGAAATTCTTTTTTACTTTTCAATAATAATTATAGTTTAATTATTAAACTTTATCATTTATTTTATTGAAATCTTATTCGGGTGTTTTGAATCAATTTTTTTTAATCCTCACTTTGAAGTGAACTAGTGAACTAAAATTAATGGAAAAAATGTCTAATTAATCACTTGAAGATATGGCAAACTCACTGATCCAAAGAAATGTTTTCCATTTTCAATAATATTAAGTACAAAATATTAAAATTATAAAATAGAAAAATAAAAGTTATTATGGGCTTGTGTTTGAAAATATTTGAATTTTAATAAATGTATTGTATATTATAAAGCAGCTTATATGAGGGATCTTCTATTGTATTTTTAATTTTCTGGTCGAGAAACAAAAATTTGTATAATCCTCATAATTCATCTTCAAATAGGTACACAAAATACAACCTTGGACCCCTGATATTAACATTTCAAATAGTTTAAATATCTGTAGCTCTGTCAAATACTATATTATTTGGTACTCAGTATCGTTTTAGTGATGGTTTATTATAGTAATATTTGTTATAAAAATTTGTATAGGTACCTATGACTTATTTGATTAGATATATGCATTATGAAAAACTAACTTAACCACAAAAAATTTGAATGCAATATAAAAATAATTGTATATGCCTAGGAATTAAAAATATCAAATACTTATTGCATGTGATTTATTGATAAAATTAAAAAAAAAATTTATACCCACCTATTTTATTTTTACAAATGTTGATAGCAAAACTAACTTTCGATGATTAATATTACCTACAAAATGAAAAGTAAAATTTAATGTCTACTAATTTTCATATACAAGGAAAYTATACTGATTTCAAGATACAAGTGTACCTACAACCTTTTGATAGTTTTGTATTACCTTCTATTCAGGCACAAATTTAAAAACAAAATCCTTCATCTCAACTATACATTTAAGTATATGGATGTGATTCCAAATCACTGTCTAGTGTAAAACGTGTTTTTATTTAAGTAAATGCCTTAAAAATGTTCTAATGCAACGAAACATGCAGGGTTCTTATTATTTCGCGCGTAGGTACTGATTCACATAGATGGTGCGATTTCTTAACAGTATTTATTTTATAAGTTTTAATTGATCCGATTTTTGCGGTACACTAGAAATTTACACGGTATTTAAATAAGGTACAACCCTGGCCGTATACAAAATTTCATTATTATTGGTAATGTTTTTAAGTTTTCATCGATATTTCTGCGACAGGTAACCAGGATGTGACATTCGACCACAGATATGTATTTTTATATATCTGTGTATTCGACAGAGAAACTTGGAATTTGGTAAGAAGTTGTATGGGGATATTATAAATTATAATGGCCCTTGTGAGGTTTCAGCCCATTCGCACTTAATAGTTGATTTGCCCACGCCACGGCTGCTCACTAAGCTGCTGTAGCCTAATTTCAGAAAATCAGCAGTTCAGCAAATTACTAATTAGACCAACACTGAACACAAACATTTTTCTCAATATCATATTTGTGGTTAATTTCTCCATGAATTATCATCATTTTTAATCTTATCATTGCCGGACACTGTGAGTGATAAGTTATATTTTTTTTTAAATTATAAGACATAAAAGTAAAAATATTTTTAGCATAACTATTTAATTTTTTAATTTTTCAATAATTCTAATCTTGTATTCATGATTTGTCATGCTTGCAGCTTTCCCTGACAGCCTGATATAAAATGTATACATCTTTTAATATATTATACTTATAGACGTTCATTTAAAAATATTACAATGTTGAATGTTATAAATCGCCGTGTATTCAGGAAACTAGATCGGAAACTTATTGTTCGTTATACATCCACTAACGATTTCTACGGATTAGATAAAATAAAACCAATACCCGTTCCGGATATAGTGAGAAAACCACGTCGCTTACCATTTTTGAAATCAATATACGCTGGTCAGTATGATGTTGAAGTTCTTACATATCCAGAAACACTTAATCTGGAAAGGTATAAAGACCTGGAATCTCGAGTGCAACAAGTCCAGCACAATTGCACGAAAATTGACACTGTCCGGCAACTAGGACTATTTGGCATGAGTGCTCCATACCCAAGTTCAGGTCTCAACTTATCAGACACTGAAATAGCCCGTGTATTTGAACACTTTGATTCTAACACTTTTAAATCCGTGTTTGATCACATTCTCTGCGTCGACATAATCAAAACTTTTGGTACACCAAGTCAAAGATCAAAATATTTACCATTACTTGCATCGGGTGCTGTATGCACATTACACGTCGATACTGTAATGGGTACACTACTCCCAAACGAGAGCTGGGAACTCACAGGCTCTGTTAAAAATTCTGCAGATGTTTTCTTGTTATTTGTTATTGGAAGTAGAGCCTATATAGTCGAAAAGGATAAAACTTTTGTCAATGGGGAAAATTTAGAATTGAGACAAATTGTTGTTACTCCAGATGATGTAATGGAGAATGTTGATTTAACCAAAATTATGCACAGAGGTAAATTATWCACGTGTTCCATATTGGCAACATCRTTGAAGAGAGTTGTTCAAGCAACCATTCAGAACTTATTACCAAAAACAAGGTTAAATCTAAAATTGAGAGAATATGATTCTGTTCTGAAGATAATAGCAAAATCATTAGTAAACATCTATACACTGGAAAGTATGATATATCTGACCACGTGGATGACTGATGGATTTGATGATCCAGACATTGAACTAGAGTCAGCTTCCATACAACTATTTGCTCGTCAAACAGTTGACAGTATATTGATAGATTTAAAAATGGTAAATGGAAGAAGTTCAATAAATGAACCATTTTTGACTTTATGCAATGAGGTGGAAGATTTAGTTGAGAGTTTGGAAGGAAGTATGAAATTAGCTGATTTTATTAGTAGTCAAGGTGTGGAGTTTTTCAATAAATCTGATTATGAAGAAAATATTTCATTTCTAACTAAAGCTTATAGAGATATAATGATGAAAAGAAATGTACCAAGTTTAAAATATGGTCTTCAACAATTTCTACATCCTGCACTCAAGGTATATAATATTAATAATCCATGGTATTTGTACTGAACTAATTTTACTTAATCAATTTTTTTTTCCTTTTTCAGCATTCCGCAAATTTTCTTGAGTATGATGTATTGAAATTCCAACACATAATTAACCAATGCCATGCTGCTGGTCAACTGAGCACCGATAATCAAATGCTTATGGAAAGGTTATCAACAGTAATTGTATACATTTACGCCATGACAGCAGTTCTTGGAAGGGCATCTAGATCATATTGTACTGGAATCCGGTTTTGTGATTATGAAGTAATTAAAATAACTTTTAGAATTTTTCGTTTTGAGTTGTAATTTATTARGTATAAATATTATAATTATGAMTATATTTTATTATTATTCTTAGATGAACACTGGAGAAACAGTGGTAAGAGAATCATGTACCTTACTTAAACCAATCTTAGAAGAACTGATGAGTGGTAAATATATTGCAACWGATTCAGTCTACGAAACATTTGCTGACCAATTACTAGTTGATAATATAAATAGGGGACAAACAGTTACGTAAAATGTATAATTTATTATTTGTTACATTTTTATTTTTATCGAATAATGTATAATACAAGTATTTTTCAAATTCAATTGTGTATAATTCAAATAAAATAAAAACAAAGTTTTAGTTTAAAGTTGCATACGAACTGTAGTTACCTACATCCCAATATCTAATTGAATAAATGCTCTTTACAAGAATATGTTGTGTGGCCATTGGATATTTTCTGGCACTTAAATGGGTTTGAAATGTTTTACTATGCATTTTTATTTCTGAGGACAATAAAAATGTATTGTATTTTTCAAATTCATTATGGAACAGGACTATTTAACAAATTTACATTGCAAATGTTAAAATATTTCTTGCAAAATGTTATGTGTATAATATTTGAGATAATATCACATGTGTTGTGTTATCAATGTTGAAGCTCTGATTTATCAGTGCAAAAAAAAATAATATATAATACAAATAATTAGTATAAAAATACTTAAAAATAATACTCATTTAATAAATTAAACAATAAAATAATAATTGATATACTTTGTGCATTTTAAAATAATATGTTCAATCTTAAAGAGGGTTATTATTTTACGGTCTGCAAGGCATGACATGAAAAAATAAAAAAATTAAGTTAAAGTAAAAACTTGATATTATTTATTAATGTTTATTGTATGGCTAAATTTCTTTTTTAATCACACATGACAAATTGCCTAAGGCCAGCTTTGGTTGGTATTATTCTATAATGGGTAAAATTGCATAATACAAATATAAAAAATATTGTAMAATAATACTAATGTATAATACATATTGTTCCTGTTTGGCCTTTAGTTTGRATAACTGTGTAGTTTATTTTGARGTAGTTAGGTAGATACTAGGATTAATCTACTTTGAGTGAAACAAACAAATGTGTATAATTTATTTATTGATTAATTTTTCATTTCAACAATGACTTGTGATCAWAAGTTAATGATTGAAGCTTCAAAAATGSAATACATTAAAAATTCAGTTTTAAAACTGTTAATTAATATACTTTTTGGATAGCTCCTATAGTTGTAAAAAAAAAAAATGATGTCAGTTCCTCGTGTTACAATTTCTGTATGGAGAATAATTAATATAAGTACCTACCATTGATTTTATGATATATTATAAAATCACTATTAAGCTATTATACTATCATACAATTTCAAAAATATTTTTAGTCTAATTAATTTAATTTTTTTTTTTCAGTTATAGCCAGTTAGGAACAACTACAGTAAACTGACTTTGTGTTTCAATTATTTATTCATAAACAACAAATTTACTACATTTAATTTCTATTTATGTTTTACTTTCTTTACTTCTACATACATGTTACTATAGTTACTATATCTTAGTTATTCTTAATATAATATTGCACTTTGATAAATGTTATACTTTTATTGAGATTTCAGCATTTTTAAATTTTATCCAATAGTATAATATTTTAATGACATATGTKTGTATTCACCATATCTATAAATTATGACAATAATATGTCTATTATAACCTATACCAAATGGCTGCATGCCATATTGTATAAATATCTAAAATTTAGACTCCAAAAATCATAAACAACTTATGTAAGCTTGTAGTCCAAATGATGTGATGATCAACATCCTTTAGCTGATTTTCAATTTTATAATAACTACACCTACCTAGAAACTCATAAGCACTTAAGTAGGATTGAGGACTTATAGAATTTACATATCGATCATAGTGTTATAATAAAATATAGCAGATTGATATACAAATACATTTAAAATATATAAAAAGAATTTACATAAATGTAAGGTTTGATACTTACTATGACCTTGAAGAGATAGGTAATATAAATAAAGAACAAATARAGTCGTAAGATGTATAACTTATACTTTATTACATTTATATTTGTGTCTAATAATGTATAATAATACAGATATATGTTTCAAATTCAATTKTGTATAATTTAAATAAAATATTCTTAGTTTTAATTTTATAATTACATAATAGCTGTAGCTATCTACATTCAAACAACTAATTTTGAAAAATGCTCATTATAAGAATATGCTGTGTTTACATTGGATATTTACTGGCACTTATACTGGTTTAAAATTGATTTTGATGAAAAAATATATAATTTTATTTACTATGCATTGTTATTTCTGAGTCTTTATATAATTTATATAAAAATAAATTGTATTATTTAATTACATTATAGTACTTAAATAATATCATAAGGGTTGTGGCAACAATGCTATAGATTGCTGATGTGTCCATACAAATAAACAATATGCAATACAAACTAATGACATAAGTATAAAAATACTCATATACATAATACTCGTATAATGTAAAATCAAACAATTAAATAATAATTAATATACGTAAAAATATGGTTTGAGCGTTAAAAACAATGATGAATCTTCAAAGAATTTTTAAAGAATGTTAAGAATCTAAAAGATGAGAATAGAAGAAAGAAAATTAAAGAAACCTTATAGAAGAAAGTGAATATTATTTACAAATACTGGTTGTTTGGTTCAATTTATTTCTTCTTATAATCTTCTTGGTAACCATATTGGGGGGCAGCGTGGCTGTATGATTCTTCTTTCCAGTAGTTGAGGTCGATCGATGGAATTCTATCGTAATCGTTGCAGCTCACCAAAGGATTCCTAATAATTATATTGAATATGATAAATAATTATAATGTTATATTATATTACCAAGCAAATCATAATATTAATGTTTTTTTTATCGACTACTCACTTTTCAGAAATCTTCAAGAAGCCTTGAGGCTGGATTGTGTGTAAATCATCGCTGTTATCACAGAATATTCTAGAAACACTAGATTTTCGGATTTCGTTAAGTTGTTCTAAATTTGAAAAAATAATATTTTTTTAATAATGTTTAAAAACTCTTAATTATCAATAATTGTATATTTTATTACCTGGTGTGAAGGATCCAGCTTGTCCACCCAATTCGTAGAAGTATCTATCAGAAACTTTAGTTCTGTAAAATTGTTCAGTCAAAAGACACAAGAATGTTGGTCCAGCCAATGTGTTTGGTACATGAGCTTCCAAAGAACCACCGACGGAAAGATCGACATCRTCTGGGTGGTTGTAGAGCAGAGCGAGTTTTTCAATTCGCTAAAATGAGAAGAAAAAAAATTTAAGTTGTTATGAACTGCAAGTTATAAAAGTAGGTATACAGGGAGGTACGATAGATACTCACTTCAACATCGATGTAATCGGAAAAGTCTTCAAATTTGTGTGCTCGTGGTAGACCACAAAACTCTCTGTAATCGTTGTAAGATGCAAGACCGTGGTCTCGGCCTCTTTGTACGTCAATAGCTCTCAAGTCACGACCGAATGGACGGCCTGCTCTGAACAAGAAGTCTGTAATCTATGAACACAACGATTCATTAGTGATTGTACAGCATATCCTACTGTGATTCGTCATAAAGTGTTTAATAATTACTTCGCTGGTGAAGAACGGATCGACTTCTTCTTGGCTCTGGGTCGTCAAACCTCTCGATAAGTGATCGAAGTTGTATCCCTTTTCAATGATAGTCGGCCTGTTGAAGTAGTCCGATAATCTGACTGCGCTCAATAGATTACGGTCTTCGCCGATCAAGCTATACACATAAAATAAAAAATATTCCGTTTAATGAATTTGGCTCTCGATGTTGACGAGGGAAACCTACTGGAATTGTCCTTGGATGGATGAATGGAAGTATCTGAATGCTGCGTGAGCGTGAGCGTTTATGACACTAGGATCAACGTTCTCTTTGTAATCATTTGTGAATCCTTTGGTCTTGTACAATAGACCGTATTTCAACATGTTGTCTGTTCCTAAAATAATGGGCAACCATTCGTGGTAGTTGATGTGTTGGAATTCGGCTATCAGCACTCGTCTGGATTCTTGGTAAAGGGTTTCATCGTCCCAGTGGGGGTTGATGTGTGACAACACCGTGGCAATGCGGTTGTGCTCTCTGAGGAACAGAATCTGTAAAACGGTCAGCTGTGGGTTCTGGTTAGCTCTTCGGTCACCTGAAACGACGATAGTGTGTTATAAAAACAGTTTTTATTACCAATTTCTACCCAACATCGCTCAAACGTCAAAAATGCAATACTGACCGAATTGGTAACACGGTTCTTCTTCTGTTTGTTGATCGCAAACGGCACTCTTGTTGGCCGCTGCTGGGGGCCATGGTCTTCCATCTCTGAACTCCACTCTCAACCTACCRCCAATTCCTTCACGAAGCGTGTCTGCTAAACGTTGGTTTGAACCGTACACGAAAGAAGCGTCCATCCAGTGTGAAACGACTACTAACTATAGATAACATGCAAAAACAATATTATGCCTACGAATTATTTTGCGTACAGCGTCGCTATATTTTAGTGCTTAATATTTTATGCGTGCAATTTTATAAGTATACACGCGGTTTAAAACTGTAGACCTTAAAAACTTATTAACTTATAGGTCAATAGGACATTAGTCAATAAGCTGAGAATGTTTTTTTTTAAGTTTTGTAAAAATGTAATACATTTTACTCAACCCTTGTTTTAACGCACATTTTATGCATGTATATATTATACTGTTTATACAGAGGTGATCAAATTGAATAAATTGGATGAGATYAATAATATATTAGTTACTTGTTCTGCGGGCTTGTTTCCAGCGTTGCATCCAGTTTCTTGGTCAGTAGTGGAACGGACAAAGTTCATGCACTCCCTGTGGAACTTGGAGAATACTGGGTCATCTTCGGGGATCGTAATAGGGAAACAGTGCACATCTGGGTTGTTGCTCAACAAACGGCCGTTGTCGTCGCAACATCTGATTGAGTGACGTTCTACGAACAAAATAAATTGCATTCGTTTCAATGTGTTTCAACCTCAAGTCTAAAAATACTATTCAGTCAACAGATATTATTATTATAATAATAAAATAAAATCTGCCTAAATTCCAGCCTTACGTCATATTGCTATCACTCTCGTATCATGTTTGTTAAATTTACTCGCTTTGTATTTATTGAGTAACGAGGAGAAGGCGCGAATTATTGTAAAAATGAKTTAAGCAAAACAGCACACTATTCTGTTCGGATAATCGTGTTTAAGAAAAAATTAGGATATCTAATGTTAATTGATTATTAGTCATGCGTATTACGCCATCATATCGAGTTTATGATCGAATTTATGCTACGTTGATGTGTCAAACCAATTTCAATATTTTTACGAATCCATTAGGACATAACATTATATATGTATATAGTGTGTATGAGTTGGTTATTTTAATCTACATCTATATAGGTAGCTGATTCTGGTAATTCCACAAACGTTTAAATGTCCTACATTTTAATTTAGCTTTCAACTAGGAAGAAAAAACGACCGGTTCGGTTTGCAATACACCTACCGGCCCTGAGGCCGTTTTTGGGCAAAATATAAATTTTAATCATTTATCGCACGCTCATCTATCCTTAATGCGCATAATATCTCCGTAATACAACACAGAGTATAATATGGTACGYGTCAAAGAATCACTTTCTCCGCTAGAAGCTCAATATAATAATTGAAAAAAATATGTGCATGTATATTAATACATAATATGTTATAGTATCCTCCCACTCGTCGTTAATTTTACTCGCGTGTCGAGAAAAAAAATTAAAGGGCGTTTTACTCTGCAGATACGTACGAATTCTACGATTTCAATCGTAATAATGTGTATATTATACTAGGTACGTATAGAATAAYATATATACGTGATGAATACCAGATACCTTGTATGGTTATATGAATTACACGTTTACAGTCTTGTACACTTACTTGCTTGTGTTGTACCCATGGACATGGACATATCATGAGTTACGATTTGGCCCCAGGTCATGGTGATGAGAGTCCACACTGGATCAGGGATGGGGACATCCGGGAACATGACGATACTGATGAGACGGGAACCGGGAAGTGGTTCGCCGGTGACAGACGTGGGTGGTGCGTGGATTCCTGCATGATTGATATATTTCATGATTAAAAACGTACATAAATGTTTTAACTATCACACAGGCYCTAATTTTATGTGTACCACGAATGTATACAAGTGTGCACTACGATTTGAACGTGTGTGTACTACTGTGTACAAAACAATAATTACATAATACACCAGCTACTAGAAAATATGAGTATTTCCTGAATTTTGTTGTTTGATTTGATTGCATTGTTAAATTACTTAGATTACTATACTAATATTTATATATATATATATATTATATATGTAATACATTGCTTTTTCTAAGATAGTGGTGAATACAATTTTCGTTTAAAGCAATAAAATTAAGTATGCAATCCGAAATTTTACAAATAATATGGCTTGCAGTACACGTATAAACGATCTTATATAATTCCATTAAAGTGTGTAAATTGGCAGATATAGGTATACTTGCAACATTGTGTAATTGTGATGTATATAATATATTTGAACTTACCGTCAGAATACTTGGGTGGCAAGAGTCTGGCGTACTTGGAGTTGGGAATACCCCAGTTGGTGTAYCTGAGATTGTTACAGGATCCATCGATGGTCCTGTATTTGTTGTTGGGGCATGGGCCCACAGGTGGCTGGCATCCAGCGCCTTGTGGGGCTGTGGGTATCTCACCGAAACTATATAAAAGCAAGCGCGCGAAAGGTTTGAAAATGGTCCACGTTTACTCTTGGGTTATGACTAAAATATTATTATAACACTCACTTGTTGGGTCCGGGACGTGGTCCTAGACCGGCAGCGGCGGGTGACGGTGCGAAACCGAAACCTGGCTGTGGTGCTTGGTAGGGCAACGCGACTAGGGGTTGTCCATACGATTCTTGTGGCAAATAACCTCGAATCACGAAATACAAAAATTATTATTTTACATACGCGTCATAAACATTGTATATTTACACTATTTACAGTTCTACAGATAATTTTAGATATGCAACCACTTACGTGCATTGTGTAATGTAAAATGCATATAGCATATCATAGTGATGGGTATTGTAACTTACCGGTGTAATTGTACTGTTCCGGAGCCGGGTAGTACGATGGCTGGTGGAATATGGCTGCAGCCGAACAGAACAGGCTCGCCGTCAACAAGACGACCATTTTGTTCAGCGTCATCTGTAAGCAAA